ATAGACTGTGTTCTGAGGAAGCCCAAGGAAAGAAGAAAACATTAGCCTTCAAATCGGAACATTCAAAAAGTAAGAGTTCAGAAAAGGATGAGGAATCTGAAGATGGTGACTCAGACGACGAGGATATGATTCATATGTTTAGAAAATTCAACAAGTTCATGAAATCTAGAGGCAAGGAACAAATTAAAAAGGACCGAAAGAAGAAACAAAGATATTCTTCAAATTACAGGTGTTATTGTTGTGGAGAAAAAGGGCATGTTAACGCTGATTATCCAAACATAAAAAAGGATGAAGAAAATATGTTTCTCAAGAAGAAAAGAGCTTACATTGCTTGGGAGGATAATGCATCAAGCACTTCTAGTGCAAGTGATTCTATTGAAGAAGCAAACTTGTGTTTGACAGCTAATGTTGATGACTCTGCAAGCCAAGTAAGTTGTTCTACTTCTGAAGCTTCTGAGTTTAACTTGCAAAAAGCCTTTCTTGAATTGTTAAATGAATCTGAAAAATTGGATGTTGCTCATAAAAATTTGAAAAATGAGTTTAAGGATTTGAAAATTAAATATGAGAAGGCATTAGATGAAGAAGTTATTTTGAGAAATAAAATATGTAATTTAGAAATGAAAGAGTCTTCAAATGTTGAACATCTTGTTGAATGTCTTTCTTGTAAGAGTCACATGCTTGATATCGATATCCTTGAAAATCTTCTTGAAGTGGCAACTACAAAGAATAATGTTGAAATGCCTATACTTGTTAAAAAGGTTTATAAAAACAAAAGTGTACATAAAAAGAAGAATCAATTTAGAAGAGTCTGTAGAGTATGAGTTGAAAAAGGAATTGTGTGTTATAGAAACCCAAATGATGTCACATGTTTTTACTGTATGAAAAAGGGACACACTTCTAACAAATGTAGAATTAAACATTTTGATGTTCCAAATGGAAAATATGCTTGGATTCCTGTTATAAAGTAAATTGTCTCTAACCTTAAAGGACTCAAATGAGATTATGGGGACCAAAACTCTATTGTTTTGTTTTGCAGGTTAATTTTTCAAAAGGAAAAGAAGGCTCTATGGTATCCTAGTAATTTTTAAGAGCTTTGAAAATAATTTATAAATGCTAAATGTGTCTTAGGTTGAAAACTTGGCCTAACATTGCATTTTTCGGAAATTAACATAAATAATCGATTACCAAGGGATGATAATCGATTATCAAGGTCATTTTCACTCTAACGTACAAATTTGGCTCGCAAATAATCAATTATTTTGTGTAATAATCGATTATCTTAAGTTAAAACTACAAAAAAACTTTTTAAAAAAGTTTTTCTGGGGAATCTGTTTTTGATTTTAAAGGAGAATATTACTTTTAGGGGAGTAATTTTTAATGAATTAAAAGGATCTAAATTCTTCTTGATTTAATTAATTTAGGGAGAGCATCAAGATTAGATGATCTTTTGATTATGATAAAAAAAAAGAGGAAGAAATTTTTTGATTGACATCTTCAACCTCCTAATTATCCTCCAACCCCTCCTTTCTAAGTCTTAATTGCATTTCTTGATTAGAGTTGAATTTCCATTTTGTAATTCATGATGTATTTTGCTCTTTCATGTTATGAAAATTTAAATTTTATTTTGTTTTGAAAGAAATGCATATATTCTTTTGTTGAGGGGAAATTTTTATTAACCATCTTTTTGCTTATGATCAAAAAGAGGGAGAAAGCTTTTAAACTAGTGCAGTTATTACTAACATGTTGTATGTTTTAAGTCTGAAATCTATGCAGATATTTAGAAATGCTTTTAAACAAGAGATTTTTTATCATCATCAAAAAGAGGGAGATTGTTACCAATGAGGAGCATTGGTGTCTTGAAGATATTATGATTTTGATGATGCTACAAGATGAAGAACGTGAAGACTTTTGTTGTATTTATTTAAAAGCATTTTGTAGAATTAATTGTATAGGAATTACTTTGTTGATGTAAGAACACTTAGAAGTTTTCCTGTTTAGAGAGTCTTTGTGCAGATAATCGATTATTGGGTGTGATAATCGATTATCATTAGCCTGTTTGGAAAAGAGTTGCTCGCGCAAATAATCGATTATTGCTCAAGATAATCGATTATTCCAGTCTGAGTCAGTATTGCCCAAGTCGCGCAAAAAATCAATTATTCCCTAGGATAATCGATTATCACTTTTTTGAAAACCCCATAACGGACACAAATAATCGATTATCACTTATGATAATCGATTATCACTGGGAGTTGGGAGATGTCTTTTCAGTTTCTGATCCTGCACGAACTTGGGCTTATAAATAGAGGTCTTCACAGCTCTTAGAATTTAACTTTTCATTTTGAGAGTATTAGAGCTGTGTGCCTAAGGGAAGCTCTCTGTGAGTGAAAAGGGAATTTATGCCATTTTGAGAATACAGTTTATCTGAGGAAGTTCTCAAAGTGATAGTGTGTTGTTGCCAAGTCTTGTGAAAAGGAGAAGCTCAGCTTTGTGTGTCAAAGGTCGGAGCGGTTCTCTTCATGTTGGCCGAGTTGTCTCATGCGGTTCGTTGGTCAAAGGAAGGTTCTTCCGTTCGTTTGTCGAACGAAAGGTGTTCTCATTTCTTAATCTTTACTTCATATATTGTAATTTGTACAAACATTATTTTAGTGAAAAAAGGTTAATCACTATTCATAGTGATTAACGACTGAATGTAGAATCTTTTGATTCGAATTAGGATAAAATTTCTGTGTTGATTTTCTTGAACTCTACACTCTTTAAACTCTTAGTACATCAACTCTTTGATAAAACGTTTAAGAGAAAATTAAAAGAACCATTTTTAAAATTGACCGAACAAGTTCTTTGCTTTAACAATCTGTATCGTACTCTGTGTTTTTAATATTTCTGCTACGTAATATCGGTACCGATTGTTCCAACACCTCCTGATCATCAAACAGATGACTCGGGAATTAGAACTCTTAGAGAAAAGGTTAAGAACTTTAGAAAAATGATTTATGGACGAATGATATGTTTTAAAATAATTAAACTCGTTTATAACAAAAATATTTATAAATAAATCATTTAATATTAAAATAACCCAGTCTCAGTATTTCTAAACTACTACCACTTCTAAAATATCTTTTTCTACGATTTTACATTATTTATTTATTTAATATTTATTTACATAAAATAATTTTAATTTTGGGAGGTACTTATTTTTTCATATTTTCTTTCTTTGATATATTAACATTTTAATATAATGTAATCTTCTAATAAAAATTAGGTATGCTGAAGCTTACAAAAGTCATAATTTAGTTCCGATAATTAGCTTTATTTGTTAATTTAAGTTTTGTAGGGATAATATTGCAACAATAAAATAAATTTATTTTGTTCTTTTAATTATTATTTAAGATTTTTGAGAAATTTGACAAGAGACTTATTGTGTTATATTCTTAAAGATTAAGTTTTGTTACAGTTTCTAATATTAAGTTTTTTTTTAGTTGGTGTTTATTATATATTAATGCAGTCAAACTAGCTTTATAATATCAATCTGTCATTATGTGCAAACAAAGCAGATTGAGACGTTGAAAATAATGCATACTACTATTTTTCATTCAAACATTATATTATTATCTTTATTTAATCAAACTTATTGTTAAAGCTATTTGTATGATTGGCCTATCAATCAAAATCAATTATATGACAAAATATTCTCAACCCCAATGAATACTTGTCATATATAAAGCTTTAATCAATATTATATAATACTATATTTAAAATATTATAACTTAATGTTTCATTAAGTTTTTTTCAATTTTGTTGTTGCGCTTCTTTTTAGTTTCAAGTAAAGTTTAAGTGAGACATAAATAATTGACGCTTATCAGAAAACATGCTATTGTTACTTTTCATGTGCACAATATCATCAGAAAAATTAAATATATAATTAAAATTTTCTGAAGACCAAAAATAAACCTTTACAAAACTATTAAAAAACTAAATTTAAGCCATTATATATATATATATATATATATATATATATATATATATATATATATAGTAAACCTATTATAAATATTCCATTCATTATAATAAATATTATCTTATTTTTATTTTAGTATAATAAAAGAAATTATATTAAATACAAAAATACTAATTTATTAATTTTATTTTCATAATTAATTAATATAATTAAGCATAAATTACGTGTTTTTATTGAATGAAAATTTTTAATATACAATTAATTTTAAGCTTTATTTTTTAATTAGAAATATTTAATATTTTATTAATTACATATTGAAATCATTTTTTCTTAACAAATACACGTAATAATCATTATAAATAAATAAATTCAGTAATTTTAATAAATAAATGAATATATTTAACTTTGAAAAACCTGGATTACTAATGAAATTAGAACAGAATGAAATTAAAAGTTTTATATTAAACTATTTTTTTCTTCTAATAAATAAATAAATAATGGGCTGACGGTTCGCCTACCTACTCTCCAAGGTAGAAAGGGATGAAGTTGAGGAGTGAGAAGAAAGAAAAACTATTATTCTGTTAGGTATTCGTGTTTGACGCAGAATTAAATAACTGCTGCAGAAGCAGTTCAAAGTACATTTTACTCCCACAACATCATCCTTCATCCGATAATGATATTCTCACATTAAAAAAAATTTACATATCCATTGCTACTTTTTATTTTATTTTCTATTTTTTTACAAGTATTGTATTTTTCTTATAACCATTTTACGCTTAAAATGGATTATCAATTTGTAATCAGAGATTTGTTTTTCTTCTTCATTATCACATCAATTCATTGCAGTTGCGGATCAATTGGTTAATCCATATATTAGTGTAATACCTTTATAATATTTTTCCTTAATTATGAAATAAAAATATATACAATTGATTATGCAATAAATAAATGGAAGAGATAAAGTTAGAGAATGAATGTGGCATGATAAAAGTATTATAATAATGAGGTTTCTTGCGAAGTGTGAAAAACGCACCTGATACACAGATATATTTCAATTATTGAATGTTGAGAACAAGCATGATTTCTGGCACCCATAACTTGAGCCAGTGTTCATGTTGAGTGAGTGATATCATTAATCATATCAACAAGATGAAAAAGCTAGAGAGGCAAGTAAGAGTTGTGATGATCTTGCTTTGCTGCGTTAATTTTCATGGCCAAAGCTGTGATGAAGTTGAAGATGGAATCAGTAGATCTCATTTTCCAGAAGGGTTCCTCTTTGGAACAAGCACTTCCTCTTACCAGGCACGGTGTTTACTTTGCTTTCTCTGCTTCCATAAAGTAGTTTTATTTTTCCTTACAGTGGTTATTTTCCCTCTTGAAATATTGAAAATGGTGTTTCTGTTAATGGAATTTTCTGAAACAATAACAGATTGAAGGAGCACCCTTTGAAGATGGTAAAGGTTTAAGCAACTGGGATGTTTTTAGCCATATACCAGGTTAAATAGTGGTCACTAGTCATCTCATCATTTCACTCTATATTCATTGCTTCTGGTGCATACAATCACTATTGCTTTTGATCTATTTTCAGGTACGATAAACAATAATGAGAATGGTGACATTGCAGATGATCATTATCATCGTTATTTGGTAAATATTAGTTTAGTATTTAGAGAAAGAGAATTTTGTAGAAGGTTATTTTTCTCATTTGTATAGGCTGCGGAAGATAGGATTGGATCGAGAGCCTTGAAGCTAAATGCTCTTATACCAAGAAAGAGAACTTTGTAGAAGATTAATTTGATTACTGCTATCACATATTGTGATCATAGTACACATAATAAAGCTAGTAATTATAAAATAGAAATTTGACATCATTGGTCACATAACATGCACCAAGACATGGCATAATTTAAGGAAATGTCTAATCAATTTTTTTTCTAACTTTTAGCATGCACTAATTATACTTTGACTAACGAGAAGTATTGAAACTTGTAAGCACAACTAAGATGTCAAAGTACATAGCAATACCTAACATAAACTTATTGATAATAGTAATACAAACTTATTGATAATAATCTGACACTGAAGTGTTCTCCTTGTGATGTTGACAGGAAGACATTGAGTTGATGTCGTCTCTCGGGGTAGATGTATATCGATTCTCTATCTCATGGACGAGGATTCTACCTAGTAACTATCTAAACCTGCATACTAGTTCAGTAGATACCATAATCTTATTTTTCAAAATTTCTGATTTTGATCTTCATGAGCCATAACAGGAGGCATATATGGGGACATAAATCCAAGTGGGATAATATTTTACAACAAGATAATAGACAATCTGCTACTTAAAGGTGAAGTAACAATGTCAATGTCCATTTGGTTCATTATATCCATAGTTTTTACTTTGTGTGGACTTAGTTTCTTAGGAATTTAAGGTGAATTATGACTAAAATTGAATAAAAGTAAGTAACATGAAAGAAGAATCCAAAAACATGAGTTTGTTCACCACTCAACAAAATGCTGGAGAAGAAATTATGTTACAAACAAGTTCCATATGATTTGTATAAATAAGCTATTTTATAAGATAGTATTGAAGCTATGTTAAATCCATTAAGCTGTACCTAAATATAAACATGATGTACTTGGTACAGGGATTGAGCCTTTTGTGACAATAAATCATCATGACCTGCCACAAGAACTGGAAGAAAGATACGGTGGATGGCTTAGCCCCTTAATACAGTAAATTTGCAACTCTGACTTTTTGTTTACACGTAATATATAAAGCTAAAGTGTTTGAGATTTTATCAGTTTTTCAATGAAATCTCATGTAACCTTGTGCATTGGTTTTTAACTGTCTCCCATGATTCAATTAACCAACTTCATTTAGTGGATGAGGAACAAGACTTTATTGGTGTGGTTGGTTGTCACCCTGCAGAATCCCCTACATATCACAGTGAAACAATTATACCTGCATATACTTCCTTTGTTGTAGGAGAGATTTTGTTCATTTTGCTGAAATCTGTTTCAAGAGCTTTGGAGGCAGGGTTAAATATTGGACCACCATCAATGAGCCAAGCCTGGTTACAATCAATTCCTATATGAAAGGAACATATCCCCCTGGTCACTGTTCGCCACCTTTTGGAAATTGTTCTACTGGTAACTCTGATGTTGAGCCCCTCATTGTCATGCACAATAGGTTACTGTCACATGCCAAGGCTGTTGAATTATACCGCAAACACTTTCAGGTAAAAAAGAAAGTTCTTCTCAAGTACAATTTGTTGTCATCTTTTCTAGGATAGAAGAAAGAAGGAACGGTATAGTTTGTTTAATCAGCATACAACTCATGTTAATCAAGGCAAAGCAAGGTGGAACCATTGGCATTGTTGCACACACCTTCATGTATGAACCATTTAGAAATGAAGAATGTGATAGACAAGCTGTGAAAAGAGTCTTGGCTTTTGTTGTAGGCTGGTAAGTTGTTATTAAGTACCATTTAATATCCACAAAAAAATCAAAAGGGTTTTGCTTATGACAATCATGCCTAATAAACTATGGTGTAGTAGACTATTATTGAAGAGGGTTGCAGCACACAATCCTGTTATTTCTATGTTTAAAACTTTTCCTGCTCTTTTTCTGATATGAAGGGTCTTAGATCCCCTAGTTTTTGGTAAGTACCCAGATGAGATGCACTCTGTCCTTGGAAATCAGTTGCCACTGTTCTCTCCTGAGGAGAAGAGACTTATAAAAGGCAGCATAGACTTCATTGGCATCAATCACTATGGATCTCTCTATGCCAAGGATTGTTCCCTCTCTGCTTGTGCTCAGGGAGCTGATCATCCAATAACAGGCTTTGTAGAAACAACTGGAATCAGAGATGGTATTCCAATTGGTGACCAGGTCCCCTTATTCTGTCCTCCTGCTACTCTTTTCATTATACTATGTTTTCTTTTCTTGAACTTTTTTCATTATTTTATGTTGTTAACTCAAATGTTTGATCAAGGAACAGGCATTGAACATAATCTTTCATAGATTTCTTTTTTTGTTTTAAGCAGACAGGAATGCCACTATTCTTTGTTGTTCCAATGGGCATGGAGAAAATTGTTGACTACATTAAAATAAGATACCATAACATGCCCATGTACATTACAGAAAATGGTATCTCCAAAATCTCATTTTCTCCCATTTTGCTTTAATCTCTGTTCTTATTGCTCATTAATATTTACCATTTTATGTTCAAGTAAGAGACCAAGAATAATGACCATGCAAGATTTTTTTTCATGAACATGATCCATACAAGGCTTCAAACCTGATAATCAAAGACTAATGTGTTTCTGAGTTTTAGTCTGGCTTTTAGGAATGAGTTTATTAACAAATTTTGGACTGCTAATTCAACATTGTTTCAGGATATTGTTTACCACTCAAACAGAATGTGACAATAAATTATCTGTTACAAGATTTCAAAAGAATAGATTATCATAAAGCCTATCTGGCAGCTCTGCTTAGAGCCATAAGGTGAGTAATGAGGACAAACATATCTGCATCATTCATGTTTAAGGTTAATTTGGATTATTTGTTTGCTGAGAAACAGTAATTTGTGATGTATAGAAAAGGTGCAGATGTAAGAGGATACATGATATGGTCATTGATGGACAACTTTGAATGGGCAAGAGGGTATGAAATGAGATTTGGGCTTTATTATGTGCATAGAAACACTCTTGAACGAATTCCCAAACTTTCTGTTCAATGGTTTTCTAGTTTCCTCAACAACAGTATCAACACCAACACAAGAGAAGATTTGAGATTTGAAAAAGCAACATCTTAGAGGCAAAGATTTGAGAAATTTCGATTTAGATTGTGTTTGAACTGTCTCGGCAATTTCGATTAAAATTCATCGATCATGAATATGATCCATTTATTGTTCATTTGGAATCTGTGGAACATGGTAGAAAAATTATAATTTGTACATCTTTTATACTGTGATCTTTCTTTATTAGATGTGAAGATAATTTTTTTTTTACTTACCTTGAATGATGGGATGACTATGTTTTATATTCTCTCATCCAATTATAATATTTAATAGTTTCAGTGTTTTTTTTTCTCTAATTTTTCAATATGTATTATTAATAATTTTGTCAATTTATATCATTTTTATTAAAATGAGTTAATGTGTTCTCTTCTTAACATGTATTGTAAAAGTCAAGTCATTTTAGTGCTATATAGTCATTTATATTATTATGTCCTCACCTTTTAAACACTCACAACACTAATTTAACATAAGAGATCACATGAAAAATTTAATAAAAATGAGAACAATATAAAAAAGAAAAAAATATATATCACATTTAGACAAAAGAGACCATTACACCAATTTTATGGAAGAAAGGTTTGTTTCATTTGTATAGTGCTATAAGGCATTAGAAATTTTGTGTTAAATATATAAGTTGTTTATATGTTTGTTAAATGTGATTTTGTGTTATTTTTATTTATGTTACATCCATTTTTAATGAAAAGTTATTTTAGATTCTTTTTCTCTGATAAAAATTACAAATTTTACTTTTACTACTAATATTAAATTTAGATAACAAAATCATATTATGGATACTAATTTATACACTATGAGATAAAATCCACTATAATATTTTAAGAGAATAGTTAATATTAATTATTGTAAAGATTTAAAAAGTGGTATTTTAGGAGTGACTGTTATTTAAAAGTATTGATATTTAATTATTTTAATATTAAATGGTTTTGATATAAATAGTTTCATTATAAACTAGTTTTATTATTTTAAAACATATTACTCTCTAGAAACCACTTTTTTAGAGTTTTCTGACTTTTCTTTGAGTTCTTCTCATGCGTTCATCTGTTTGAAGATCAAACACCACCTGAGTAATCATAGTGGCGAGATCTTTAAATATATCTGATCAGTTCCTCCAAAAGAGTAAGTTAATTTCTACTCTTTTTCTTTGGTTTGTCTTGTTTCCTTTGCACGCGAACCATAATATTTTTGTATATGTCATTTAAGTCTTCAATAAGACTCTTTGGTGATCAGTGGTTATAAAAGTATACCCTGATCATGCTTCTATGAGTTATAGGTGCATATAGAGTTCCTTGAGTTGGTGGAGTCGTCTTAGCTCTTGTAGAGCAGTTGAGTCCTCTGTAAGGTAAGGGAAGTTAACTACCAAGTTTTGTTGTTCTTAATGTTTTGTTAACTTGTATGGCATGCTTGATTTGATTAGAAATTTATAAATTGATATGTGAAGTTGTTGATGTGAATTATGTTGAATGTGTGGTTCTTCTGTTCAAGAAATTGTTGTATAACATATTAAATTTTGTTGTAATGGTCTGTTAAATGATTTTAAGGTTAATGGTATGAATATGTGCAATTAAGACTTGATTAACTATTGGTCTTGCTTGGTTTTGGTCTAAAAGTGATGGTTGACATGTGAATTTCTATAGGGAGTGTTGTTTTACTGAATTGAATGTTGGTGGTCTTTGTTAGTGGTATTAAGGACTTAGGTAGCTTTTCAGTTCACAAAAATGTTATCTGATATGTGAAATAAGCATGTATGAGTTTGAGCTATTAGTTTGGTCTGTTGGACGTTGTTCTTGGACAATTGAGAAAATTAGTATTCAATTTGAGTTATCAAATGTTTTTGAAACAATTATAGTGTCAAGAATATCAATTTGGTCAATTGGATAGGTTTGAGGTGCATCCAAATCAGGAAAACGGGTTGTTGTCATCTGGTACAACGCTGAGGAATGTTTCTGACTCCAATAGTCATCCAATCTCAAGTAGAAAAAGGTAGTTATGTGGTGAGGAGTATTAGGAGGTCCTTAGCCTCGGGTTAGTTTGACAATAGGTGTTTGACAGACTAAACTTGTGTGGTAGTTCGAGTGGTATGTTGTTTCACCACACATGCGCAGATCCTCCAATAGTTTGACATCAATATATGTATTTGGATGGTCAAGTCTAAAGGGGAGAATTGTATGAGTTATGATTGAGTGTTTTATCTGTGTTATATGTCTAATTCTATAAATGAGATATATGATCGTTTTTGGTACATTAACTTACCTTTTATTCTCGGTGTTTATTTATTTGTTTTGTTTCTTCTCTTTTACAATGATAATCTTAATGATGTGAGTCTAGAGGGTGTCTCTAGTGAACAAGTATTTGGAGGATATGGAATTGAGGCACCAAGTAAGACGTTGTGTTTTAGTTTCATTTGTTTCTAGAAGACCTATTACATTTTTGGTTCAATGTAATGTCTGAGTTGTGTAGGATCTTATATTACTATTATAAGTTATTTATAAATATATGTAATAACAAATTTTTCTTTGAGTTGATTGTTTTATAATATTAAAGGTGTGAATAATCTAGGGATGACAACAGGCTGGGTCGGGCAGAGACAATGCCTACCCGCTACCCTCACGAGTACTCGTTTATAAAATATCTGTGAATGTTTTAAAACACGAGTATCCGCGAATATATGCAAATATTAAAAAAAATATTTTTATAAATTATTAAAATAAAATTTAAATAAAATTACAAAAAATATATAAAATATAATCTGAATTAAATTAAATATAAATTAAAATTTAATTTTAATTAAATTTAATTTTATAAAATATAAATTAATTTTAATATTAATTAAATTTAACTTAATAAAATATAAATTAAGTTTTTATTTTTATTTTTTGCGGGTAGCGGATATCTATAGGTACGGATAATTTAATACCTGCACTTGACCCGTGTATAAACGAGTATTAAGTAAATATCTATGGCTGGTACCAACTATCCATCGCGAATTTTATCACGGACACAAATTTTTTTGTCATATAAACAAATCTCATGGTAATTGGATGCTATAAAAATTGAAATGTTACAATTATCATTACTTAAATTCATTTTATATTAAATTATATTTTTATTATAAATAATTATTAATCCCAATAAGTTTAATTCAAAATGAAATTTAAGAACAAAATTTAATATTAATTTATATTAAATATCCATTTTAAATTATTACAACATATAGTATTAATTTATATTAGAATATTAAATTTAATCATTTATATTTCAATCGACTTTATGTACTAATTCTAATGACCAATAATAATAAGGGTTAATAAAATTAATTCATAATTTTATTAACACTAAAACTATATATTCCTTGTTTATTTAGTATTAACTAATTTAGTTAAAAATTTTATATTAAATTATCAAACTCTTCTTTTAATTTATTATCCGTTTATACTTAATATTCATTTATACTACAATATTATTAATATTTCAAATTATCACTAAATTTTAATTTTCATAATTTATATTCAAATAAAATTAAAATAGTAATACTAATGATTAATATTAATAATGAATACTTTTGTAAATTCACACATTAAATTTCTATTAATCAATAATCAAATATGTGAATATTCAAATAGTATTAATTAATTTTGCTCTAATAATTTGTACATATCTTTTACAAATTAATACTTTTTATAATTTTTCCTATAAACATTTATAAAAAAAATAAATAAATCAAATCAATCTATTCTAAAAAAAATACATTTTAAAAGAATTATTTCTTCAAATAACACGCTGGAACATTATTTCTTCAAATAAACCTATTTACTGTAAAAAGGCTCTCTTAAAGTAATTAAAATTTAAATTCAAAATTTTTAATTAAGTATTTTAAATTAAGTTTCGTAATTTTATTCTTTTATCCCATTTAAAAAAAATAGAAAACAAAAAAGTTAGAAAATTCTTCTAGAATAAATAAGTTCATTTAAAGAAATAATGATCGAGTGAGTCTATTTTTTTTAATAAAAAATCATCGACCCGAGTAGTTCTGACAAGTTTCCCAGTGGCAAGCAAGCACACCGAATTATCCTTCAGAAATCAATTACTACGAAGTTGATTTCTAACCTCATGCAAAAAGTAACTATTTTTCGGTAAACGTTTTGATCAAGAATTCATTTGTATAAGTATTTTGAAAAATATAATTATTTGTAAAATAAATTCTGGACCAAATAGAAACCTGAGATTGTTAAGAAAAAAAAGAAAAAAAAGAAAAAAAAAAGCATTGCTACATAGTACTTCAATACTATCATATAAAGAGAAATTTTATACATTTTATTTTTAATTTTATCTTTTAAATAATTTTTTTAAATTAAAATATCAATTATAATTACAATAATTTAATTTTTTTATTCTGATAAAAAAGATAAACATCCATATATGTCTTTTTTTTAGTATTAATAAAACTTTTTCACCTGATGATTATCTTAAAAAAATTTATATTATTATTTTGACACATGATAAATTTGTAGATATATACTTTATATTCATTATTTTATTCTTCAATTTTGTCTTTTTATAAATACAAAATTTTCAATGACGAGAATACTAAAAAAAACATGTTTCTTAAATTGAAAACTGGTGAGTAGATGTAGACAAAAATTCGCAATCTTCAAGATCACGGGTGACGATGATCAATCATTATTGGGAGTTATTTTAAAGTCATGGACAACAATCGTTGATGTTAATGACTCTCAAAATCACATCAAGTTGGCAGAAATACGGACTTTTTTGCTTTTGCTTCGATCTTCAACCACAAAAGAGAAAGAATGAAATAGACATGAGTTAAATTATATATAATAAAATTTAAAGTTAATTATAATCATAATGATTAATTAATTGTTACTGCCTATACCTTTACTGCAGGGTGGCGACAATTTTTGAATTATTTATGTCATGTTATATTTAAATATTTGAACGTGGTCTCATGACTTCACGTAAGAGCAGGTCTTACTTTATAAGCTTTGAAACGTATTTGTTGCATCAGTTTAATCATACGAACAATTAATGAAGACAAGTGCTGTGATGATACTGCTCTGATTTCTCCATTTTCATGTCCAAAGTTCGCATCAAATTCAACGTGAAATCAGCAGATATCAGTTCCCAGAACATC